ATGGTGTAGTAAAACCCAAAGATATCTAATGGGTTTTTGAGAAATGTGATTTGTGAATATTGAGTTTGAGAAGAAAATGTAATACGTGTACATAATATAATCCTGATCTAACTAAACTGAACTATTACGTAATATGCATTTTTTCTGCCCAACCTGACTTTACATCACAAAAGAAATACCTACAGAAGGTAAGTTACAATTAGTATTTATTATTTCAAATATAACAAATATAACTAAAATACTTATCTTTTAGGTTATTGAGGCAGCAGGACATATGTGCATATTTTACTCAAAGTTCTATTGCAAACTTAATTATATTGAGTACTTTTGGATGAAAGCAAAGCGGTACTCACGTCATCACTGCAATTATTCGTTCAAACACCTTAAGGATGTTGTATCACATATATTAAATTCTATTAGCCTAACAAAAATTCGCTATTTTTCACGTCATTCTGCACGTTACATAAGTGCATATAAACTTAAACTTTCAAGTAAAACAGTTATCTTTGCAGTTAAGCGATATCAGTCTCATCGTAAAGTTCTCGTAACCATTTAGAAGAATTCAGTGATATATAAGAAAAAATTTTTTTACCCAATTATATACAGTTATGCAAATAATACAAACTAATCATATTAATTTTATGTAATACTGATAACACTGAAAATCCTCTTATTGCTATTAAAATTAACATTAAAAAAAATCTAACTAAAAAAATTTTTTTATAATAAAATGAATAAAAAAATATGTTGTTTTAAAGACTGTATCAAAGGCTATCTGATAATATATTTCTTTTTAATAGTTGTATGATTCAATAAAATTTCTTTACATTTTAAAATCATTGAAAATCATTAGATACGACTAAGCCGTTTGCATCATACTATTATTAACACTATTGAGATATATTTTTTCAAGTCTAATTACATGTTTTTTAGATGTTTTTTTCTTTTATATAATCTCATTATATATAAGAGGTTCATAAGCAATTAAGTTTACAATATAATTATAGTTAACTTCATTATTATTTGATTAATTACATTTACCTTATTTAATAGATATCTCAGATTTAGATTATAGGTTACATCTATTCAAAACTCTTAGAATTTCCTTTTTTCTAAATTTTTTTTAATATAAAATTCTAAGTGATGCTTTTCATCGATATTTATAACAGTCTTAGTTATAATTTTAATAACTATAATGTTGAGTTCTACTAATGACATTATATTAAAATTCAGATTTATCAAGATTTTGATAGATATAGAATTTACCTTAAAAAAAGTGGAAAAAATAATTAGTTTTTTTAAAAATTAAGATAAAAAATAAAATAAATAAAATAAACTATTATACTTATTAAATATAATCCTATATATAATAAATTTGTCTCTTAAAAAATCAAATTACTTATATTAAACTTCTTAATTTGAGTTTTAATATTCTAGTCTGAAGGAATGAATGTCTTAATTTTTAAATAATTATTTTTGCTATATTATTATTTAATAATCTTGATATTACTGTAATCTCTTTGATAGTAAAGTCTTATATAAGACGTTTTGTAAATTTGTAAATATAAGCAATAATAGAATGTTTTGTAAACATATTTTTCTTTCTTTTTTTAATTAAAAAAAATAAAGATAATTATTTTTTTAATTAATTTAACAGAGAATCAAAATAACCTTCCTTTTTTATAAAAATTTAAATTTATCTATTTAATTTTTACTAATTTACTAATTTTTTTTCTTTAATAAAAAATCTAAGCTCAATCAAAGTTTATATATTACAATACAATTTATTTTTTTTCACATAATATAAAATTTAATTTTATAATATTTTAAAAATAAAATAAAAATTCAATTCAATTAGGATAATTTGTAAAATTTAACTTTATGATATTTTAAAAATAAAATAAAAATCAAACTTAATCATAATAGTCTGTAATTTGCCTCTACTATAATTATCTTTTAGTGAAAAAAATAATTATTTATGTTTATCTATATATTATATTTAAAATTAATATATTTAAATTAATATATCATAAGATTATATTTAAATAAATTAAATTATACTTAATTAAATTAAAATACAAAGCTAATTAAAAAATAAATTTATTATCAAAAAAAAAAAAAAATTTTTTATATAAACAGAAAGCTATCAAAGCTAAAAGCTAATAAAATAATAAATCACTATAAAATAAATATATATATATAATTCATATTTATAAGAGGAAGGGTAGGTAATATAATCTATAATTTAAAATAAAATTTACTAATTATTGGTAATTGAATGAGAATCCTAATTGATTATTATTAAGATTAAAAATACTCTATATCAATTTTATAAGGTAGCTTATACAAAGAGATCTTACCAAAAAAGAATATACTTTACAAGTATTTTAATAATCTTTAACTGTGAATTTTATAAAGATGATTAATACTTTGATATAATATACGAAACTTGTATTACTATATATAAGACTAATTAGAAAATATATCTATTTTTTATTCTACAATAATATATTAATTATATTAACTAATATTTTTAGTTTTGATTAGATTAGTATTAAAAAGAATTTAGTTTTTTCTTCATTTTATATATATTACACTTATACTTTTGCATATTGCTTAATGTTTAATGCTTATTTTTAATTACTTAATACTTATTATTTATTATTACTTAATATTTGCAATCAGCTTTAATAAATAGCAGTTTAATATATAATGTGTTTTTTATTGTTATATAATATATAAAAAAAATAAAAAAATTATAAAAAACAATCATTTTATCAATTATTATTATTTATTAGATTTTATAAACTAAGTTAACTAAAAAAAAAATAGTTTAATTGTATTAAGTTATATATCATAATAATTTTTTTTTATTAAGTAAAAAGGAAAAAAGTATAATCAGTTAAAAATAACAATAATAAAAGAAAAATATTATTTTCTATAACATATTTTAAACTATTTTGCCAAATAAATAAATTTTTATAACTAAAAAATAAAATAATATCAAATACATTAGTTAAGAATTATTGCAATTCTTTTTTTAATTGATTTGTAAATTAATAATATGTAAAAGAAAAAAATAATATATAATGCATATTTTTTTCAATAAAAAAAATAACTTGATGAATTGTTATTATTATTTGTCTTAAAAAAAAAAGAATCTATTAGTTTTTTCTTTTATAATTATAATAATTATTAATTAAATAATAAATAAAAAAAAAGAAAGGATTCTACCTCTTTTTTTTTTCTTTAGAATTTTAGAATTATTAAAAAGAGAAAAAAATGAACTTATTGACTAAAATTTCTATGAAAATTTTACTAATTTATATAATTTATTCAGTCACAGAAAAAGATAATAATGCTTATATCATAAGAAAAGCTGTTGCAATTATAAAAAGAAAGACAACTATACTATAAATCTTAAAATGATATGTTTATCTCAAAGAGTCTAACTGTATTCAGGTGATCACTTTTTCAAAACTAAAAGTATTTTACGATTGATCAGAAAATTCATTTAGAAGTCACTAATACATTACAAGTAAATTAATAACTTTACCTTTCCAATCTCTATTTCTTGTTTTTCTCCCCCTTCTCACTTCTTTTTTTCTTTCTTTTAAATTAATTAATTAAATTAATTATTTATTTATTAATAAAAAAATACTGATAAAAAGATGACAATAAATGCAGAACTTACTAAAAACATATTATCTCCTGATTTCATCTCTTTATTTATCACTAGTTATTATAAAATTTTTTAAGTTTATATAAAACTCAGTAAAAAAATACAGTATATCATTTCATATTTCTTACACCTCCATTTAATAATTAAAATATTAGAATTAAAAAAAATTTTAAATTTTCCGTAGATCGACATCATATAATGCAAGTAACTAACTTTATATAGAAATGATCTTCATAAACATCGGATACTTATATGTATTACGTATCAAAAGTTTCAAGCTTCTTTTCTTCCCGTGACAAACAACTACTCATATTGACAAGACAAAAAAAAAATGTTTTAGTGAACGAACTTTATTAACGTTTAATATTTTACTATGTTATTTAGAAACGCGAGCAAGGAAGTGTGTATATATATTTTTTTTTGTTATTTTATTAATAATATATATGTACTTTTTTTTTTTTATCAAATAGCAAACGAGCGGGAAAGAGTGTGGGCTGGGGCATAGCTGGGAGTGGGTTTAATTACTAGCTGATAACTAGCAGAGATCTGGCAGTGCGCCAAGTTTCGCTACCAAGCTGAAGGTATGGAGGCTTAACGGTAACCTTGGTGAGGGGAACTGCTTCTTCTTGATATTGAATTAGCTATGCTTCCCTTACGGACCAATCGTATAGGTACTCGAGACCAATAAAATTAGTCACAAGGCCTGTCATGCCTCTTGCACGATCTTCTAATATTTCAATAATCTTGATTTATAAGAATCGCATTTAAAGTTTCAAACCTTTATATTGCGTCTAATCAGAAGAAAATTTTTTTCTTTTGATTTGGATTTGGCCTTCAAATAGTTTGGCGTTTTATCTTTGCCTTCGCTATGTGTGTGATCTGATTTTGAAATTTTCAAAGAAATTTTCAAAATCTATCATACAGGTGTGATAGATTCTATCAATTCTCTGCCGCACTACTCTTATGGATTAATAATCGTTCTGGCTTCTCGATTCAACAAGCCACTACCGTCGTAAGTTGATTTTATTTATTGTTTTCTGATCTTTGGTCTTGTCATATGAGTTGTAAATTGTCCTCGTATAATTACGGTAGCAGCAATTATTGTTAATGTAATAGATAAAATACATTATTAAATAATGTTTCCATGATTTTTTTTTAAAAATTGTTATAATGTAAATAAAGTTTTTATTGGCGCGGTAAACTTTAATTTCTTTGATTTCAGTTTTCATTGCACAATTTCGTATTAAACGTTATAATTTAATAAAAGACATTTTAAGGATAAAAATAATGATTGAATAAAATAATATTGCATGCATTCTCATTTTTTAACGGACTCGTCATAAGTGGGGGGAGGAATTGAAGAATTGGACGATGTATTATCGTTTACATTACTATCATCAATAACAATTTGTGGCACACGTGACCTATTTTCGGAAGGTTGTCCAATTTCGACTACAAGATACTATCGTATCAAAAAAAAATAAAATAAAAATATAAGGAAAAAATGGGTTTTCTTTTAACATATCAAAAAAAAAACAAAAAGTTTAACTTACCCTATGAGAGTTATAATGGGGGTAAAAATTATTATAACCATGAGGATTCTGTCCAACATCATATATAATTCTCCAATTGATTCCTCTCAGATTATCAATTGCATTAAATTCATTTAATTTCTCAACCATTGAAAAGAATTGTTTAGTTCTTGATTTATAAAAAAGGAAATAAGAGACGGAAACACTTAAAATTATACTAATAACTACAGACACAATGGTGATAATCCAGATGGTAAATGGTTTGCCACCACTATTATAGAAATTTGCATTTAAAAGTGCTAACGGTAACGTTACCGAAACAATTACAAGTATAAATATGAATGGAAGTAAAAGAATTACACGATTTATTTGATTTTCAATTCCTGCTTTATTAAATTCATTAATTCTTTCCTTAAATTCTTCTCTTGTCATCTATGAAGGAAAGCGAAGATAGATAATTTACGATCAAATAACCAATCGAGTGTATGAAATGTGAACTTTTTTAATTTTATTACTTACGTGTTCTTGTAATTCTAATGAATATTGAGCATTAATGGTACTATGGTTGATAAAGGGATATCTTATACTTTTTACCGACATATCGTTATTGAATTTATAAAATGGGAAAAAAAAATTTTTTTTTTTTTTTTACCTCACCAAAATCACCTTTTTTATAACGAATTCATTGATGGTGTGGGTTTTTTTTTTTTAGAATGTCGTCAATCTTACTTTTGGATTAATGACGAAAAATGAAGCAAAGTACATGAATGATGACATATATAAATTTGATCACCAGCTTGGAAAATTCTTAAAATTCTTTTAAAGGGAAAGATTACCACGTGCTTTTGTAATTTAAATAAAATGTCCAAAAACGAAGCTTCTTTGTACCAATTAATTCGAAAATGGGAAATGTAATTGAAGGATTTAGTGATTGCTTTCCAAAAAAAAAGAAAAAAGCTCAAGGACATAAACTCGGTACTAGAAATGAAAACAACAATAATAATCCAATTGGAAACAATGTAGGAAATGAAAAAACAGGAAAAACAGGAAAAGATACAAGTGGTGTACAAACTCTTGATAACGGTAAAACAGTAGGGAGTGTTAGTGTTAAGACTGGAGGAATGCCCTCGAGAGAAGATATGGCTGCTGCTGCTCAAAAAAGGCAAGATGATGTAAGTAAAATAAATTAAAAATATTCAAAAAAGGTTAATTTTTAATTATTTATTTAATTTTTTTTTTTTCAAGGCTAAATCAAAGGGAGTAATAAAAGGTGGTGGTAAATTAAGTAAGAAACTTGAAGAACAACAAAAAAATTCCAATCAGTCCGAGTCAATTCCTTCAAATTCAAACTTACAAGTAAGTTTAATTAAATAAATTAAAAACCAATAATTTATACATATTGACTTGTATTTATTTTTTTTATAGTGGAGGGTCGATTAAAGTTATAATTGGTTAATTTATTTTAAAATTTATTTATTATTCTTTTGCATATTAATAACTTTATTTATTTAGTTTAATTATATTTTTTATGTACCATTTTTCAAAATTTAAAATAAAGAACAAGTATGTTCACTTCTCACTTAATTTCCTCTTTTTTAATAACACCTCCCCTTTCTAAGAAGTCTTTTACATGATTTACAATACTCGATGCAGTTTGCTCGGCATCAACATTTTTACCATAAGCATCAACGAATTCTCCATCTGGATTCATTAAATAAATAAATATACTATGATCGACTAAATACTCATCACCTGGTTGTAATTGTGGTGGTTGACTATAATAAACTCTATATGACTTGGCCACTTTAGATATTTGTTCGTGTGATCCTGTTAATCCTACCATGTCCTCATGAAAATCTATGGAGAGTTAAAAGATTATTAGGAACGAGAGACGAGATATATCGTATGAAAATAAAAAATTGATTCACCTCTAATGTACTCGCGAACTACTTCAACGGTATCTCTGTTTGGATCACAAGATATAAAAATTGGTGTTAGAACATTACCACCAAATTCTTTTTCATTATCTACAGAAAAAGACCATAAATTTCTTTTTTTAAAAACATGTCATTATAACTAAACAACACAAAGGTGCCTTTCCTTACTTATGATATCAATGACTTTAGACATTTTATCTAACTCTTCAGGACAAATATCGGGACAATGAGTAAACCCAAAATAAACTAATAAAAATTTTCCAAGTAAATCTTTATCTGTAACTAATTTTCCATCTTGATTTAATAATTCGAACGGTCCTCCTATTTTTGGTTTTCCTAATGATTTATTTTCGATTTCTCTATTACCTATTTATTCCAAAGTGAGATTATTAATTTGAAAGGAATCATTTAATAGTTCAAAAATGTAATGAATTCATACATACGTTTTTCCAATACCTTTTTTTTTTCATTTTTAAAATAAGCTAATAAACCCAATCCTGTTAAAATGAATATTACTAATCCCTTCCATGAAAAGGGCTATTCATTTTGTCGATTCAAGAATAATAATAATAATAAATTTAAATTTGATTCTCGATTAATTAAAAAGGTTTTTTCCGATGAAAAATAATAGGTTTACCCCAACGTTACGGTTTTTTACGGTTTCTTTAAAATTTTTAGGCGGTGTCGGTTGTGGCTTTGAAGTTGTAGTACTATATCTCAAATTACTACCGTAGAATTTTTTATTATTAGGTAAATGATAATTAAAAAGTTTTGGTGAATCACTATTATTTAAAGTGTTAATGTTCCTCAAATTCCTTAAACCCTGCTAATGGAATTTCAAACATCCCAGTTGGAAAACGAATTATTTAATTAAAAAGTTGAAAGTAACTAACAAGTAAATGATTTAGAACTTAGGTGCTCTACCTGGTTTCTATACACCAAAGTAGCTGTAGGTGACTTTATTAAATTTAAAGAAAGTAAATTTCCAATTCTCCTAACCGAAAACTTACAAACTGAGTTCATTATTTCGAAGAAAAAAATAAAAAATTTTTTTCTGATCTCTTTTTTTTTGGATCTATATATTATTACGCACGTGACAATCATATCGTATTTTGACTCTACGTCGCCCGTAATTTATTATTAGGGTTAGTATTATATTAGATGATTTTTTTGCGGCTGAATTTTGTGTGATATCAAATTTTGCCTGACCCTAAAAAAGAACTTGTATTACGATATTGTTGATAGGGACGACCAGTCGGTTTCGGTCTGAAATTTTCATTAGTATAACAGAATCCTTAATACTTTTAATTATATCTCATCATAAATTTTACTTATTATATTCTTTATTCTTTGAGAATATAGTATTAAAGTAATAAAATATTTATTTGATATATCATATCAAATAATATGTAATTTTTTTTATAAATTTTTTAAAATTCAACAATGTATTGCATACCAGAATAAAATTATTAGGTAAAATATACAAATTCAAAAAGAAACAACATTAGCATCAGATAAATGAGCTAATAAATTTATTTATTTTACAAATTATATATAATTAATAATTATTTTATTTAGACTATATATTTGACTTTAATCCAAATTTTACATTAATAATAATTTGCAAATATGACTTGATGATAATTGCTATTCATGATGTAATCAAAGTAGTATATGATAATGCAGTTTAGATTTATTAAAGTATTAGGGATTAAATTGGTAAATGATAAAATAATTCTATATTATTATATCTTAATATCATACTAATTAGAAGTAATTCCTAACTTTTTAAATAATAATAGCTTTGATTATTTTAATATAGATGATATTAGTAAATTTAATTTTAATAATGATAAATTTATTTTAGATGATCTATCTTCTTTTATTAATGAGTTTCAGAAATAGTACAATTATCATGATTAGTAAATTCAAAATCTAAGTTAAAACTAGTATCTGAGTTTTTTAATTCATCAAAAATGAAATGAGATTATATTCTAAACTTTTTAAAAATTTTTTTATTAATTAAATCAAAATAAAATAAATTATTTTATATAAATAGTTTAATGAATATATTGCAAAATTCAAACTTATGTATCTGATAATGCATTTTTATAATTTAAATAATCTTATTAAATAATCAATTAAATGAAATTCAATTATCCTAATAATCAAGCAAAATTTAATCAAAGTAAAATAAATTTATTAATTTCAAAAATAATAGAATTTTAGAACTAATAATTAAATCATGAAATGAAAAATATATAGGAAAAAAAAATAGAAAATATTGGATTACCTCAATATATTAATAATATATATCTATAAATTTTTTAGTTGTAAAAAATTAATACTTAATTATTTAAAATTATAACTCCAAATATTTTTCATATAAATATAACTGAAAATAATCTATTATAAGAAAATAAATTTATTTTATATATGTCAAAGAAAGAAATATTATTAGAAAAAATATTATCATATATAAATTAATATCTAAACAATATGTTATATTTCTTTTTTTTGAAATATAAATTCTTTATTTTATCTTTTAGTTACTATATTTATCAATACTAATAGCAATTTATTTTCTTCAATATGTAAATCAGATAATAATTTATTAATGTATATTATTTTAAAATAAGTAATTTATCAATTTGATAATAATAATTTAAATATAACTAATACAGACAACACTTGTTATAACAAACTCTATATCTTAGACTTCAACTTTACTATAAGATTATAGTGAAGATTTTAAGAGATTTGATTGATCAATTCACAATAACAAGAGTATTTTTATTATATTTATTTAAATAATTTATTATATTAAGAATTTGCTATATCAAGAGTTAACTGTATTATAAATTTAACTAGTTATTTATATATGTTAAAAAATTTTTGACAAATTTTAATATTTTTTCACAAAAACAAATAATAAGCATTATTGTAATAAATTTTGATTAAATATACTTAAAAAGTAATAAAATTATTTTATTTATATATATTGTTAATGTTGAAAATTTATTTTAGAAAAATGATTTACAAAAGTTATTGAATTTAATTTCATGTAGATTATATTAAGAAAGATCTTGATCAACATACTACATTAGAAAATCAGATTGATTTATTTAATTTGTAGGATTTACAAAATTCATCTAATTTATCTAATTTATTTGATTGGCTTATTTTATTAAATTCTTTATATATTTATTATTTTCGTTATAATTATTATTTTTATTATTTCTTTTTTTTTATTATTGTTTTTATTTATCTTATATTTTATATTTTTATTTTATTATCTTTTATTATTATTTTATAGTTAAAGATTACTAAAATAGTTAGTTTATAGTATAACAAATATTAGCTGTAACAAATTTATTTTTATATAAATAGAATAGATTTTTACTTAAGTTATAAATTAACTCATTTGTAAGTTGATTGTAAGTTTCAGTATTATTAATAAAGGAATCAATTTAAATCTATACAAATTTACTTTTCCCTTCAACGTTATTTCTCATCTAGAATTTGTTATAATATCCTATACTAACTTATTATTAAATTTATCATTATGAGTTTGACTAATATATCTTAAATTTTAAGACATGATAAATTGCTGAGTTAATTTAAGTATAACAGATACCTATAGAACTTAAAAAAAATCCTAAGGTTAAAAACTCTAATGTGTAGAATTAACTATTATAGCCTTTCGACTTAAACATTAAGATAACCAAAAATAAACCAAGTAATAATATTAAATAATTATAAATGTTATTTTTATTTTAGATAATACTTATTAGAAACTTTAAAGTTATTAATAAATTATATAATACTAATAATAAAATTTTATCTTAATTTGAGTAAAGATTATAATAAATTTCTCAAATTTAAAATAACTTTAAATATAATTTTTATAATTCAAAATAATTACATTTATTATTAAAAAAAAATTCTATTAGTTCAGAATTAGCTTTTTTAATTATGTATTAAAATCTAATTTTAATTAACAAATTCTTAACATTATTTATTATATAATACATTTGCATAATTAATACAAATATAGAATCATTTATTAAAACTAAATAAATAAAGATAAAACTTAAATATTAATAAGAAAGTTTTATAATATATTTATAGTTAATATCAATTACATTATTTTTTATTTAATTAAGTTAAATTTATATTTTCATTTGCAATTCTTTTACTATGATTTTCTTTATTTTTAACTTTTTTTCACTTATATTATAAATTTCATAATTTAGTTATATTATTTTGCAATAATATGAATGACAAAATTGTTTTTTTATGTTAAAATAAGAATATGTTTTTATTATATTTTTTGTAAGAAATTTTTAATAATTAAGTTTGTGATTAAATGAAAAGTAATTTTTTTATACATATAATTAATTATTAAATATAATCTAAAATTTTTTATATTTTAAATTTCATTTTAAAATTAGTTTAAAAATTAAATATATAAGTTTGAGATAGTATTATAAATTTTATGTTAATTTGTAATCAATTATAATCATATTGGTTATTTTAAATAATAGCTAATTAAAGAGTAATTCTGTTAAGTTATTATTACAATTTAATTTATATATAATTTCAACTAATAATAAATAGTAGATATATACATGACTTGAAATTTTTATTTTAATTCAATAATAAAAAAATACAAGAATTTATAAAATAAGAAAAATATTTAAATATATACTATGGTCCAGTGCAAAAAGATGTATACCTCGCCAAAAAAGAAAATGATCTATGCTAAAAAATCTTATGTGCAACTAAATATTATGGCCTAAAATTTATATGATTAGTAGATTATGATCAAAAGATATTAACTGATAAAAAATTTTTTATTATATCATGTCCTCTTTTCTTTTAAAACGAAATGCTGCACTATTAACAAACAATGAAAAATCGATGATAATTAACCTTTATAATTATTTCTCTGGGATTAGTTCTATAGGAAAAGACCATCAGAAGCTTACATTACATAAGCGAGTTGCTGAGGTATTGAGCATTTCTGAGTGTACAGTTGGAAAGGTGGTATTAGATTGTAAAAAACGTAATGACAGTACTTTTACGCTACATAAAACTCTTAGAAGACTGAAATCTCAATCCAATGAGAATGTTTCAGAACTTTTGTGTATGAAAATTTTAAATGCTAACAAAACAGCTGAGCAAATTTTTACACCTATTTTATGTCAATATCTTTTTAATGGCAGCTTCTTTGGCTATTATATCATTTGGGATATTATATAGTCAAGGAGAACAAAGAAATATTCTTCATAAATCTCCAAATAATGTTGCATTTTGTTATCATTATCTTTTGATTTTGTTTTACTAATTTGGAAGGCAATAATGATATTTCACGTCATCCAAAAGTTTTTCTTGATAAGTCATATTACCATTTACATTATATTCTCGTAATAAATAAGTTCCTCATCAAGGTATTATTTTAACACCTAGATATAGTCTGTAGTAGTAATTTTTGAAGCAATTATTGTATTCTGAAACGGACCTTCTAATAAACTATGCGATGAACTTGTCTATACTCTGTTCATATTTGGAATCTAACAATTAAACCTTTAGGAAGTTAAGGATGAAAAAGAAATAATGCTAAAGGATGGAATGATATTCCTGAAGTCGTCAAAGGTGCTAACATTATTCCTGATCAAGTGGATTATTATGGAAACTTTAATGTAGAAATTTTGAAAACCTTTTTTTGATACTTTGTAAAATACTTCATAAAAATATAGGGCAGTAAACATTTATATGGATAGAACAAGATATCATAAACGATGAGTTGAAAGTATTTCAACTTCAAGCACAAAAAAAAGAAATAGCTGACTGGTTAACCACTCATAATATTGCTTTTTCTAATGAATTACGAAAACTAGAACTTTTGGAGCTTGTTAAAGTATACAAAGAAAAGGTGCTATTTTCTTGTGTTAAAATAGCAGAACAATATAATCATCAAGTTTTTTTTACTCCTCCCTATCACTGTAAACTTCAATTAA